ATTGCTGAATGGCTGGCAAATTAATTTTGGCACCCATCCCTAAGTCAGTTTGGTCCCATTCCTTCATTTTTCTGCTGAGAAATGTGTGTATTCACATTATAGTTAAAAATATGTTGACAACACAAATGTGGAGAATAGCATGTACTATTTTAGGAAAGAAACTGTAGGCTGTTCCATCTAGAGAATAGAAATGATGCCGTCATGCTCAGAGAGGAGGCCTGAGGTCTCTTTCAGCTCGACACAAAACCAGTGTTACTCCTCCTGACGTCTCCCCAAGTCATGGTCTCCAGGGTTTAAGATTTTGAGTCTTTGAGGATCTTCTGATTTGATACTTCACCCTTAGGTATTTATGTACGGCAAAGCTTTCCTGTCCCCTCACACCCCCAAATTTTATCACAACTACTTCCATACGTTTACTCTGTCATCTTTAGCAAGAGGTAATATGGTAGGTGGTTAAGAATATGAACTCTGAATCCTGTTTGTACCACTCATTTGCTTTGTGACCTTCGGGGCTTCCCTAACCTCTCTATGTCTCAGTTTTGTCATCTGTTAAGGCATTGAGTCACAGTGACCACAGCTCATTCCATCCTCTGTAGATCTCTTTGTATGTTACCATTTTGTCTGTGTTAAGCAGTGTTTTAAACTGAACGTATTTTACACTTAATTTTTCCTTTTCTAAGAATACATTTCATTACTGCTGAGAAAGATAAAAGGAATGTGCACTTTTGATTTTCCTTTTCCAAAATGAGTCAAAGATGCCATGCTTGAGACACAGAAAGGGAAGCCTGCACAAGAAGTTATAATTTAAATAAACCTGTGCCTCTGGCCAAAGACCGAGGTTTTGTTGCCTAAGCTGGTGACACGCTGCAGTGCCATCAGGCTGGATGCTTGCTCCCTGACTCTCCGGGTGTGATTGGCCTGGTCCTGCCCTGGTTCTGTCACCAGTTGTCATTCTTGCCCTTCAGATTTAAAATGTCTCCACAGTAATTAATTACTGATTCCTATGCTCTTATGTTGTACATATTTTTTTTTCCTTAAATTTAATTGTAACAGGTATATAGAACATAAAAATTATCATCTTAACATTTAAAAATTTTTTTTGGTTGTTGTGTCTTTTGTGTGTGTGGAACATTTACTGGAAACCAAAAAACATGTTGACTTATCTTTACGGAAACAGCGTTAAAGATGTGGACATCTTAAAGGGTTATGGCAATGGATTTAAACTCCTCAGCATTTCTATAGTTCATTCAATGCTAGCATATCTAGCATTGTAAATATAGCCTGAGCGTCTGCGTATGTATGTGGAAGAGGCATTTTGCTTTCCAGGAAAGTTCGGTATGTTTTTTTCCCCAGCTTTTTGACTTTTTATTCTCAAGCATTTCAAATCGGCCTCAAAGGCAAACTTGTAGGGGAAAAAAATGTGGGAAAAAATCAGTACATGTCAGATGTTTCTGGTCAGATAAATCATAGCAAGATATACCTGGTGCTTTTTCCTGCAAAGAGAAAAATATGGGGAAATAAATTTCAAGTAGGATTTAATCAGTAACTAGAACAGTCAGATTTAACCACTTCCTGTTGGCTGGGAAGCTCCTAAGATACACAATGTGCTCAACAAGTATTTGCTGAATGAATAAGTCTGCAAAACAAATAATTTTTGCTGAGTTCAAAACAAACACGAATGATACTGTTGTACTACAAAGAATATTTCTATTTATTTAAAAAGTTTAGTGATTAACCTACAATAAAATTTTGTCTAAAGAGTAGTTCTGTTAGGACATACAGGCATGAAAACACTGACCATAACTGAAAGAACCATATTAAAGCCACAGTAATTGAGGAATACCACCAAGAGTAAAAAATAATTGAAATAAATGCTCATATTTTCATTAATTTTGAAAATCAATTGTATTATTTAAATTAGCAACATAAGGAGCACATTATAAAAGGAATGTCTCTATTTAAAGACTAGGCTGAAATCTTGTACTTCAAGAATACAGTTTGTTCATAAAGCTTTACTGTGAGGACTTGTAATTGGTGATCTCTCATACACTATCTTATTTACCATTAAAACAAATTATGATAATATAATGCCCAAAATGTTCTATATTTCAAATTACTTACTAATGCAGACTAGGCTTTCATCAGATTAGTTGGAACTAATGACCTTTGCTTAAGGAGTCCAGCATGTCTTTTATTTGGAAAAAAAGTTGAAATATTAGGATGTGAGGAAATGAAGAAGTTCATGCTTAGGCTGAACATGTTGCAGTTAATTTTTTGAATCATACAGTTTAGCAACAGAAATGTTTGAGTACCTTTTTTTTTAAAGACCCGAGTCTGGGGAAGGCCAATTTATAGATAAACAATCCATACCCAGCAGCACTGCATAGCTAATGTGGAATGTGCAGGAGCAGGTTAGAAGCAGCCCAAACTAATGAGGTTAACTGGCATAATCTAATCACCCAGACTGAGCACAAAGCAGACAAATAGCATAAAACCAGGGAGTATTCAATTTATTTCTAACTTATTTTTGGATTTTGCATTCTATAGTGTCATCAAGTAGAGAGTAGGTATGCATTTTCCACTGTTTCCAAGTCTCTTTCAATTTCAAGAATTGTGATTCCCCAGCCAACTTACTGTGGGGCCATAGGCAAGATGCCTTTTAATTCAACATCAGTGCAAGAATTACTAAAAGCCACTTCCTGTTGGCTGGGAAGCTCCCTCTCATCCTTCCCCCTTGTCAAACCTCCAGCGGAAATGAACCTGAGGAGCAGCTCACAGAGACCCGAGGACTATACAGCCTGCCTGCCTGCTGTGGGAATTGGTTAAGTCCCCCAACTCCCAGAAGGGATGGGCATTCTTGTTGTTATTCACTTTATAATTTTTAAAGATTGATTCCATTTTTAAAAAATAGAACCAGAGACATGGAAATAAAGCATAAACTGACAGTGACCAGAGGGGAAGGAGAAGGGGGTGACGGCGGAAAGAAGGGAAATGGTCAAGGAACAGTATAATGGACCCATGGACAAGGACAGTGGTGGGGGGGAGGAGTGAATGTGGGGGAGAGAGGTGGGCAGAGCAGGGGAGAGTAATGGGGGAAAATGGGGACAACTGTAATTGAACACCAATAAAAAGATTTTTTAAAAAAGATTGATTCTAAGGTAAAAACCTTTTCAGAAATTCCTAGCATAAAGAGGTTGTTGGGAAAAGTGGTTGAACTTCATTAATTGGGGAAAAACCCTAGGTTTTAATGAAAATTAGGATAAGACCTCTCTGAAACTACATTTTACTTCTTGTGATGTTCAAGATGAGGTTGGAAAAAATCTTTTTTTTTTCCAAAGTAGAAAGAGATGTATTGTTTGATTGTAATATGAGGTCTGTCCAGAAAAAGTCTAGTCATTGTTAATATGAGAACAGTTTGCACAACATCAATGTAATCTGGCAGCCAAGGAGAGTGGACTGGAATTTGCATGCGTGAACAATGATGACTTCACTCTACTAGTCAGTAGGGGCAGTAGACGCTGTTTAGTGAGAATGTGTACTGTGTGGCCATCACATTCAAAATGACTGAGCAAGTAGAGTAACAAATCTGCATCCACTTTTGCATTAAGCTTGAGCATTCTTTCATGGAAACTTTTTGAATGATTCAGAAGGCTGCAGCAATGGGCTACCGGTGATTGGCAGCTTCATCACAAAAATGCACCTGTTCATGTGTCAGGCCTCATGCAGAGTTTTTTGGTGAAACTTTAAATTGCCCAAGTGACTCGGCCCCCCTAATAGCCCGGATTTGGCACCCTGAGACTTTTGCCTTTTCTCAAAACTAAAAAAATCCCCTTTGAAAAGAAGGAGATTCCAGACCATTAATGAGATTCAGGAAAAAAAAGACAGGGCACCTGATGGCAGTTGGGAAAACTGTGTGAGGTCCCAAGGTGCCTACTTTGAAAGGGACTGGGTTGTCTTGTCCTGTGTACAGTGTTTCTTGTTTCTTGTATCTTCTTCGATCAATGTCTCTATTTTTCATATTATGTGGCTGGATACCTTCTGGACAGACCACACACACGCGCGTGCACACACTTATTGTAAAACCTTCCGACAATAGAGAAATCTATAAAGAAAAAGTGTCATCCTACATCTCAGACACAACAACTGTTAGTGTTTTGGTATAAAGCTTTCTAGATATTTTCATGGCTTTACAAACATTCAGCTAATTATATGGTATTTAAAAAAACAGGATCAGTATTTAGTAATGGCCTTTTTATGTAATTTCTATGTTAACATACACATTTTCCTCATGATTTTTAACTGCTTCCTTGTATTCCATTGTATAAATGTATAATTTGTGTTTTTTCCCAATTTTTCATGAATAGAAAGGATGTTCTTATACATATGTCTTTACATACTTGTCTACTTATTTACTATCAGTACTTAAAAATGGAATTGTGTAAAAGAGTATGGAGTTTTATAAATTTTGCTAACAATTATAAAATTGCTCTTCAGAAAAACTGCATCAGTTTACCTGCCCACCAATATTGCAGTGAGGGCCCATGCCTCTACATCCTTGGAACTCATACAGGTTTAAAAAGAAGTAGCCCTGGCTGGGTGGCTCCACTGGCTGGAGTGCTGTCCCATACACCAAAGAGTTGTGGGTTCTATTCCCAGCCAGGGATGTGTACTGGGGAGTGGGACAACAGATTAATATTTCTATGTTTCTTGCATCAATGTTTCTTTCTCTTGCTCTCTCTTGTCTGAAGTCAATAAACATATCCTTGGGTGAGGCTTAAAAAAATAAAGAAGTGGTGCCTTAGAGGGGTCATACTTCTAACCTGTGAATTTAGGGTCGAGGAAAACTTCATGTGGGTGATAGGCTTGTGTTCCTGGTTGTTGAAGAAGGTCATCATCACATAGTGAGTGCATTCTTTTGTTTGCACGACAGTAGAACTCAAGTGTTCCTTTCATAGCCTACTGCCAGTACCTTAAACCCTCCTCTTGTTCTTCTCCTTCAGATTGAGGAAGACACATGGCAGAAATACTACTTGGAAGGAGTCTCAAATGAAATGTACACAGAATATCTCTCCAGTGCCTTCGTGGGTCTGTCTTTCCCTACTGTTTGTGAGTAAGTGACCATTGACCGTATGGTCCTTGACTGTCAGGGATATTTAATGTGCCCTTTGCAGGAAAGACACCCCACCTCTGCCCAACACAGTTGGGACACTTGACAGTTACAGACTGTGTCCTTTGTGCTCAGCCTTGTGCGATGAACTCAAGGTGGATCATGGCATGATCTCTGCCTTGGGGCTTCCACTGGCCCTACTTGTCCTCCAGACCTGAGAAACTCAGACTTGGATCCATCATTTGTACCAAATCAGGAACCCACTTTTACTGCATGTCTTGAATTGTGCTCCTGTGATGCAGATGTGTTTATGAAGGGAGCCTTAAACCCCTGTCTCTTTGATTTTACTAGCAAATCTCCTTAGCTCCTTGATGAAAGGAGTTTTAATCTCTCTTCCAATTAAATCATATCATAGAGTTATCAGAGAAACCACTGTTCAAGGAGTGTTCATGATTTGCTGAGGAAATGCAGGATCACATGAACCCGAAGGAGGCCTTGAGAAAGTCCCTGATGTGGACAACTGCCATGTTATAATAATAAGAAGGCTCAGCTTCTCCTGAGACTGGCTTAACAGGGTGGATTTGAGCAATGGCAGCCCCAGCTGGCTGCAGCCCCTCAAGGTAGAACAGGTGATCCCCTAAGGGGTATGATCTCAGGAGTGTCAGGTATCTTGGACCCCAAGAAACTTCCACCAGGACATTGTTTCAGCTTCCCCACTTAGAATCTCAGATGTTGGTTTAAGTTAAACAGGGACTTTGTTCCCTATGAAGATGCAAACTCCCTGAGAATGCTGAAACATTTGCCTGATCCACTGACTCCTTAGCAAAGGATTTGATAAACTCAGTCTCACTGATACCAACTGGGAAGAAGCAGAGGAATCTGGGAAACCACTGCACCGAGGAAGAAAAACTGTTCCCTTGTATTGTCTGCCTGCCTAGAAACCAAAACCAACCATCTGGAAAGGAAGGTCTGAAGAGGATGGCCCTGGGGGCTCTTGGGTTCCCCTGACTCATAGTTTTCTGCTCTGTGTACTGTGGAGAGGGGACAGAGCAACCTGGTAGCTTGGGGTTTACCTGGAGACGCCTGCCAGCGAACACAGCAGGTGCACTCATTCTGTCCCTGGGCCCAGACCCTGAGCGTTACAAAATGGTTTGGCTGTTTACTGAAATTTCTCAGTATGTCTCTAAGTGAAAGTTTAAATGCTAAATGGACTGGAAAAGTGAATAGGTAATTGATTCGGAAGAAGTTATTTTCTGAAAATGGATGCCCTATTGTAACTCCCATGTGTTCCTGTCTCTGAAAGCTATTTCTCCTTCTGCCACAGAAAGAAGTTAACCATTCAGAGGCATTGGGTCCTGGAACACAGAGGCTGTCCCAGGGGATTTAGTTGATTCTGTCACAAGGCGATTGTGGCCTCCTCTATCTAACCAAGGCGTGGTGAGGGCATCCAGCAGAGCCTGAAGGGCTCCTGTGGCTTTGGAGGCATTAGCAGGGAGTGCGTGAAGCCCCCTCCCTTGGCTGTCGATTTTCCCAGGCTTGACCACTGTTTATATCTATCATGAGTGCTCCCCGGAAAGCCTGCTTCCCCACTTCTTCTCTTCTGCTCCTGGGAACCAAATCAGTGCATAGGACTGTTAACCAGTAGGGTTAGGACTGCTCTCCCTGGAATTGGCAACTGGGAGACCCATGGGGTAAATTTGAGTCATGTATTTGTCCTCCACAGTATTTCATTTCTGTAAAGTTAGTTGCCAATATTTCAAAATAGAGGTATTTCACATAACGAGTGGATTTCTGCCCTCTCCTGAAACTCTAATGAGCCAACACAGGACTTGCATATCTGGCGAATGTTAACTGGCTCCATTTTGCTGTCGGGGAGGGTTTAGTGTAGCACTCCCCTCCCTCAAACCAGGCCAGACCAGCATTTCTAGCCCAGGCCTAGCCCTGTGGACACGTGAGCTTGCCAACTCCTGCCTAAAGGTTATTGTGACACTCTACTGCCTTACAGAGCTAGCTCAAGAGCTGGTCACTAGTGACTGCTGTAAATATTTTCCTTGATTGATTTTCCAGTTTGAATATGTCCCAAGGAAGACCAAATCCCTCAGGCACACCTTGTTGTCAGAGAATTTAGTGTTTGTTCAGTACAGCTTCTGGAATACAATCAAACAAAAAAACCTTCTGATGTGAATGAGAATGTGTGCAACTTAGTGCTATTATTCGTTTAACACAATGATACAGCAGAGGTAGAAATAATCAATAAAGAAAGGACATTTAATGAGATTTAGGAACATCCCAAAACATTGAAGCTCTCCTCAAGCATTTGATTATCTGGAGGCTTAATTATCTGTGTTTTCTACTTTAAATTAAAGAAAAGCCATAATTCAAAGTTACCAGCAGTTTAATGATAACACTCTTCAATTCAGGTTAATTAAAGCACAGCCGTAATTAGAGTGTAGTGTTGTATATCACCAGGCTGGCACATAAGTATTTTCATTACAGTAAGAATTGGCTATTCAATTTCAGAATGACATAAAGGATGCCAAAATATATTTTAAGTTGCTTCATGTAGACGAAAAAGAATTGGGGAATATTCTGAGTATAATAAAGCACAGATAAAATATACAGATTTTCAGAGCAGTTTCTATAATTATGCACTGCATTAAAACAATATGCAGCACGTAACATCTTAAAGCATAAAAGAAATAAATTTACCCTTCCCCTGAGCTGACAGAAAGCCCCCTTGCAGGGTGGGATCAAGCACAGAAGAGCTTGGCATTCTCTTAGAGGCTGAGAGAGTCGTTCTGCGGAGTACAAGGGGGCAGGATAAAAGGGTGAAATTGGAGGTTTTTTTCCGAAGAGAACAGAGTGGGGTAAGAAGAGAGCCAGGAGAGGGGAAGTCCCCCTGCCCCAAGGCAAGTTTTTTAAAAATTTCAAGTAGAGAGATGTTCTCTCTTGTCCTAGTGAGGTGCCTACCAGCTAGGTACTTTGACTCCTTTGCACCAACTTTCTGGTTTCACAACCTTTCTTGCCAGACAAATCAGCTTTGTTCCAAAAACAGTAACTAATGTAGATAAAATGCAATATCACTTCTAAATACTGCATTTATATGTTCTTATTTAATCCTCATAACAATTCTGTGATGTTTAGATTAAGATCATTACCCCTGGTTTACCAACGGGGGCACAGACCTTGGGGCCCCTTCCCCAGCCGCCCAGCAGACGAGTTATAGAACCAGCGTTCCGACGCTGGGCCTTGCACAGCTGGGAGCAGCTTGGAGTAGCTGCTCTGTGAAGAATGGCTAATTAACAATCTCCTGGGGGAGCTTATTAAAATGGAGAAGTTTCTAGGCTACAGCTTCAGATTTTAATATCTGGGGTAAGGCCCCCAAATTTGCAATTTTTACAGACAAACCAGGTGATTCTGATTCAAAATTTGATGACTGAAAACCCTCATGGACCCCAACCCCCCACACCACAGACTGGAATAACCTCTCTTATTCCCCACTTTGGGCTCAGACACTGGAATGTGTTTCTCTCTGATTTCAGCCAAATCATAGAAGTGTGGGTTGACCACATCTTACAAACCAAGACTGGGGCCTCTGTGTGAGTTTTCTTGCCACCGTTCCTTCTCCAGGTAGGGTATTCTGCAATTCCCAGGGACATAGGAAGTGGACTGTGGTCTACCATGCCAAGCAAACCACTGAAACCACTGATGGCTCTCTCCACTCGCCATGCCTAATCTAGATCAGTACAGGAAAAAGACGTGGAGTATAGAACCCGTTAATATGCTCGGTTATGTTTCCACTGGGGATCATAAGAGTAGTTTCAGGCTAAGGAGAACAGATAAACACTAAAAATGGAGAAGTCCAGAGGAGACAAGGACGTTCAGGATGTAATGCTCAAGGTCACGTCTTGGCCTTGTTGGAGGTCCAGGTGGTCATGTCCTCACCTTCCCCTGGATGCTGTTAGGGTGTTCCTTTTAAGGGCCAGCAACTCCTGAGCACTTCCTCTTGGTTTTGCGTAGCTGGTGTGCTCCTGGGCCTGTGTGGCAGTAAGATCAAGGCAAAGGATCTGAAGGAGAGCGTGCCATCCATGGTGCTCTGAACACCAGAAAACCACCTGCTCCCTTGCCCTCCCGCTCCCCACCTTCCTCAGCAGGTGACTCTGGAGGGTGCAGATGGCCAGTGCCAAGCCCGCGGGAAACAAGGGGTGGTGTGTGAAGCTGTGCTTCCCGCTAAAGTGTCTTGCTGTTGATCAGTTTACGTAATAGGATGCTGTGTGATATCATGGAGTGTGAGCTGTGGAGTCACAAAGGCCAGAGCTCACATCTCCAGATTGGCCACTTGCTGGATATGTGATTTGGGACAGAATATTTGATTTCTGAATACCTGACCTTGGACTCGGTGCTCACCCTCAGTTTCCTCATCTCTGAAATAGGAATGACACTACTTATTCTCAGAGCTAGCTGATGTCCTTTTCCTCTCCTCCGCCTCTCCACACCCTCCCGCTGCTCCATCCAACCCCTCAAATGTGATATACACAGAGAGGAAGAAAGAAATCCACTGTGGCATTTCAGGTTATAGTTATTCTTACCTTTTAGAAAATTCTGCCGATGGTCACCAGTCAGTTGAGTAGATAGTTAATGAATGCGGGATGTTAGTGCCAGTGTGCCAGACGTGGTGCCATCTCTAGAGGAACCTGCAATTAGATTTGATCATATATGTGCACAGTAAAAGATTAATAGCAATACTTACAAATGTCAAGGAAAAGATTCTGTTTCCCTCCAGTGGCTGCCTTCTGAGAGTTTGCAATCTGGCCAAGGAAGATAATCCCTGTTGTCAGGGAGAACTGAGTACCTGTTGATAAGTGTTTGTTCGCTAGATGCGCACGATGGAGAACAGACGCTGAGAGTTACAGGGAGACAGGGTTCCTATAGGCTGGGGGCGACCAGGAGAGGCTTCCTGGAAGAGATGGCACTTGATGTGTGCCTTGTAAGGAGGCTGGATA